TATCTATCTCCCCCCTAGTGAGTGCGAGGGAACCATTTTATAGAATAATGGTTTCCTCCCCTCTTACATGAATCATGGGCTAAGTAATGAAGCCCCAATACTGAGGCCCAATATATGGTACAACACAAGTAATCATAACTTCGAAGAGGATGCAATATCTACTCCTAGATATCCTCTAGGATTCTTCTGGCTTAGAACGAGAATTCTATCCTAAAATGTCTCTTTCCCCACGGTATAAATACACCCATCTAGGGTTTATCTATGATAATGCAATCTAAACATTCAATTCTGTTGCCCACTGCTTGAGTCTAAAATCATTCACAAACTTGATCGTTGTAGAGCCTTTGACCGACACACACTCCTCCCCTTGTCTTAAATTTGCATACGGTTGTTTATTGTTTTGTTGGTTGCTCGAGTTTGTGCTCAACCACCGCTCACTGCAGTGTGTAAATTTGGTTCCAACACCTAAGTTAGACTTAACTGTCAGAAGAATGAATCTCAAGCTTTATGTTTCTAGGCTATAGAATAACTACCTTTTAATGGAAATGATCATACTTCATTAGGACACGTATGATGCTCTTTAAATGGTTGGTTTGAACTCCACATAGTCTTACCCATTTAGCCAACAACAATTGACCATGGGATGAATCCTAGCAACATTGGTGATGGTGGCCTATCTCTAGGCAATGATTATAAGGATGACTGTGCCTTGGAGATCTTGTTGAATCTTGCCTTATCCATCCCTTATGGGCTAATCTCGCTTATGAGTCCAACTAGGCTCACAAGATCCTTCATTGGGCCTTACATGGCTAATTAAGCTCATATCCTCTGTTGAGCGGGTGTGGCCAAGCGCATCGTTTCATGGTAGTCTATCTTGTCTGGCGTGAAGAACATGCTGTCCTGGCAAAGGTACCGGTTCTGCTAGGTGTGATTTACTAATAGACATCCCTCCATTGCATTAGTTTTCAACGCATGTAAGGGTTAAGTACTGGTGAAACTCTAGAGATAATTTTGTCATCTTGGCTTGCTTTAGTACACATGGTGTCTCTTATGGGGCCGGTGAAATTTGGTTACCACAAACAACACCCAATATTCTGATGAACATCATTGAATGTAACATGCTTAAGGTTGGCAAAGTAATGTATAATATTTTCGTTACATATTATTGTGAGATATTTGAGTTAAAATGGGTGGTGGGTTTAGGTTTTTCTTTTTCCATTTTTCTTTCTCCAATAATGTAAAGATTTATATTTTTAGATTGGGGGCGTATAACAATTCCCTATATGAAATGGGCATAAAATTTGTAATTTGGAAAAGCTCTGGTTGCTTGTTCGATAAACAAGTATGCTGCAAACTTTTCTGTTTTTACAACATATGAACTTTCTCATTTTTTTAAAAGGTTTTTTTAGCCAAAATGGTCCCTGAGATTTGCCGAACTCCTCATTTTGGTCCCTGAGATTTGAAATCAATAGAAGTGATTTTTGAGATTGGCCACTATCAATCATTTTAGTCATTCGGTGAAAAATTATGTTAAATAAGGATCCAAATGACAAAATTACCGTCAATATAATAAACAATAAGTCAAAATGATTTGACAAAAGTTGAGGGTACTTTTGTCATTTAATCCTTATTTTATGAAGATTTTTCACAGAATGACCAAAATGATTGATTGTGGACTGGACCAAACTCAGAGACCAATTCTATAGATTTCAAATTTCAATGATCAATATAAGGAGTTATGCAAATCTCAATGACTATTTTGATTAAACAACCTTTTTTAAATCTTTGATTGTGTACCAGGTGGCACTGGCAAAGCAAAGGGTTGATAAGTACATATTCTCAGCTAGTACAACAAACCCGTCGCTCAACAGCTGGCGTAAGTTTCCTTCTATAATGCTTTTTTCCCACTATCTCCTTGGTTGTGTACTGGCAATCGGTCATTTGTTATGCACAAGTTGCTTTCTGAAAAGTCACTTATGTTTCTCATAATGTGAATACCTAGATGTGAGAGCTACTATGCACTGGGACTAGTTTGGTACTTCCGCAAGAAGTTTTGTCTGGTAATTTTGCACAAACTGTGTTAGTGTATGAGTGATGCAGTTAACATTAAGTTGACGGCGTAGTGTAGGAGATCTTCTTGCATTGAACAGATGTGTGCAGTGTTCATCGCACAATAAATTTGGTTGCATACTGATCGCTTGACCAGTTATTGTGAGGGGGAAGTTGTGTATACCCGGTATATGCCAGAATTTCTCCTAATTTAGATGTAGCGTGAGTATCAACATTTTTTTTCTGCCAGGTATGGATGCTTCTTTCTAGGTAGAGTTTAGTTCAAGTGAACTTTCATTTTAGTTCTTGATAATTCACTTTGGTCTTTGATATTTTATTGTGATCCACTTTTACCGTAACATTTGCACATGTAGCAAAGACGCTGTTTATTGGTTGTTAAGTCAAAGGAATATGATACCAATGAAGCTGATATGAGGGTACACTAAGATTGAAAAATGTGTTCCCACCCAAAGCAGAACAGCTGCACTCTCCTAGCTATTGCACACTATAAATGTTGTAGGTTGGAATTCATCTTTAATTTAATACCCTTGGATTGGCATAAATGTGGACCCTGTGATTACTAATTTTACTGACTTAAATGTAAATTTAATACCCTAGCAAGTGATTCATGACTATTTGATTTACTTCAACCGGATCAAGCTTGCCGTAGGATTGATCATGTTACAGAGGATATATGGTTTTGATTACTCTGTTTCTGGTTTTGTATTCCCCGCTTTTAACCCATTTCTAATCTAGGGCTGATGCTTAGTCCTCAGTTTACAGTGAAGATGAAGCAGGAAACTCCGATCTCGTTCTTCGATTGCTACAATCACCAGTACAGAATGCGACCATGTTAAAAGCGGGCCCTTAGTGCTTCATTAGTGAATTTATGAATGCGGGTCAAGCAGTTGGATTGCCCATGCTATCTGCAACAGTGATGTACCAGATATCGAAGCTATCGACAATATCCAGTACTCTTGTTTGTAATAACCTACCAAATTTTGCTTGTTATTAAGAAAACACTCGCTTTCAACCAAGGTGTAAATTGTCGATTATGATATCAGAATTGTGGGACACATTTTGACACACTTTCTTAGGAATCGCTCTATGATGTATTTTAACAATTTAACTGTCTATTTTTTAGTTCTTCCACGAAAAATAATCTCTACCAAAAATTTACACAAATTAGAAATCATATGATTCTATTGCATTAAATGATAGTCATTTTAATATTTTTTGATAAAATCGTATTTATCTATTTTCTTCACTACAAATAATTGTTTTAGTGGTTTTAGATTTATCAATTTTTTGTAAGGATAATCTAAGATAAATGAATTGAAATATAAACTGTTCGAATTCTTGAAAAAATATACGGAATGGAACCACAAGAAAGTGCGTCGAGGTGTGATGATGATTATCCATTGAATCATTCTGAGTAATCATAAGAAAGTGTGTCTGTTTAGGCCCAAAATATTGAGTCTAGACTGAGGATAACTTGGGTCCCGGCCCAGAATGGAAACCTTCAGTACCTTAGATTTCTTTGAGATAAGTCTGGCCCAAAGAAAGATAGCCGAATCCTAAATTCCTAAAATTAGTATCTCTCTGGGTTGGATTCGATTGAGTCCTAGATTAAATAGAAATGTCAAATAGCAGGGCAAATATTGATTAAATTAGGAATATTCCAAGGATTAATATTCGTGGCTGATCAGGATTAGAACGAATAAGAGATGAAGAAGGGGCTAGGTTCCAAGTCCTAAGACAAGGAGGAGTGGCTGAGCTCTATGCAGAGATTGGAATGGATTAATACCGAGGAAATACAGTCAGAGTGGGACTCCACTTCGGCTCTACTTCGGCATTAGGTGAAAATCACTCTTATAAATAGAAGAGGGTCTGCAACACTCAAAGCCTCTTCAAATCAATACACAAATATGCCAATTTATTACTCTACGAAACCTTCTTTTTTTTTGAGAAAGCAATTGACCTTCCTAACTTCGTCTAGCATATCTCGCAGTTTGTATAAACAATTATGTGATTGACAATCGTCGACATCTCTCAGTTTGTATAAACAGGGTCAAGCGAGTGAGGAGCATACGAGGAGCATCTCACTTTGTAGAAACAACTCTACCCTAAGTTCGGCTGACTACCTAACCAGGTCTCTATCAACAAGGAATCTAAGTCCTTGTTGGATGATGTCACCTCATTAGCTTTCTCGCCGAAGTGAGGTGTTACCAAGTTACAATGTCCAACACATTGAAAATTGAACCTTTTCTATGATTGGATATTCACAAGTGCATTTCTGAGTTTGACATTCTAACGACTGAACTATATTTACAAATGAGACACTTATCTCTTTTGAGTATTTGTGTCCTTCCAAATTCGGCACACTTCTATTTGCACAAATATTATTAAAGCAGCCAAGCCCGATGCAGACCATTCATGAACTTCCTGGTGACTAATAGCCTTGTCTTCATGTGCTATAACCCAGAGGTTGAGACAAGATAAGAAGTCAAGAACGCATTTGACATCACCACCACCACATTCATTTACTCACTGACTGAGCTTAGTCGACGAGTTAGCACGCCCCCCATTCAAACCACTGATGTAGTTAACTCATTAGCTATTCGATCTGCACGTCACGTAGACTTAGTAATTTTTAGGGTCACAAAAATGTGTCCCTGATCATGACCCGTCAACTATACCCCTTCCATCTTTGATAATTTTATAATTAACTTAAAAGCAATATAATGATTAGACACAGTTTTAGTCCCCTCTTCTTCACTTCCTACATTTCCTCATTTCCTCATTTCATTCATAACCATTGTTAATATTCATTTTTTTTTTAAATTTAAACACAGTTTTATTTTCTTTAAAAGAAAAAACGTATATAATTATTACACACATTTTTTTTTAATCTCAAAGATAATTGCATTACAAAGAGAAGAATATAAAGGCGGAACAGGGAAAGCGGCCAAAGCCAGCTTTCCACGGCCAAGGATAGAACAGAGAAACCCAGGGAGACAAGGAACTTAAGAGTGATTAAGAAGACAACGGCTAGCTGAGTCACCACTCCAGAGAACCAAGCAACCCAAAACAAAAATGAATGGGGGCAGGGTAGACCATCAATGGTTAAAATATGAACTAGAGCGGATGGGGGTTTGGTAACCCAGACTTCCGAACACATCCCACTTCTACAATGCGAGGCAACCCAGCCGGCTGCAGAATTTGCTTGGCGAGGAATCCAACATCACTTAGAGGACACAAGGCAATGCCGGAGATTCCAGATTTGGCAAAGCAAAGGGAAAATAGCCCAGGAGGCATTACCTTTGTTCCCATTGATGTAATGGACCAGAAAGGCGGCATCTGATTCAAAGAAAACATTCTCCATATTACCTTCTATAGTCGTCTTCAAAGATAAATTTCATGAGTATGATACATATCTCATCCTAAGTTTTATTAAGAACAACTAGAGTGTCATGTCAACATTGTGAACAATCTCTTAACCAACACATCATATCATGCGAATATTGACCTTAAAAAACCATATCATGCCAACGTTGTGAACAATCTCTCTAAACCAAGTAGCAATGCTAGCAACAAACGCAACAACACTAGCTGCCTCAGTCGCTGGTCGTATGAAAGCAGCATCTGCAGCAGCGTTTGTTGATAGAATTTGCTCCTTAACAAGTGTTCTACATTTCTAACAACCAAGACCCAAGAAGCAAAATGAAAAATGGGAGAACATTGCTGACACAAGCACGAGATCATCTTACCTAGCCTTGTTGATACTCCACAATCGAGAAAACCATGCTGGTCAGCCTGGTCAATATCCTTCAAATATCAACCCTTCCAAATAGTTTTCAAGTCTCATCAAATCCCAGTACAGCTTTCTAACTTGTCTCAAAAGAGATGTTCCTTTCCATTTATCATATAAATATCAACCACAACTAATTCGTAGATGCAAAATTCGAGCAAGCAAAAGATTTCGCACACAAAGAAACTATATTCAGAACATAGCACAACAACTCTCTGCCACCATAACAAACACAAAGGATCAAAATTGAATCCAAGCCTAGACATAAAACCGAAAAGTAAACCAACTCACTAGTCTATTCGTCGTTGTTCTTCCTCTTCCTCCTGTTCTTGTCGATCAAATGCTCCGGAACCGGCTGGAGGAGCTTCCGATCCTTCGTCTTTGCAATATTTTTTATCGTCTTCGGGTTCGAAATCACCTGCAGCTTAGTACCAGACCTCAAAATGTTCTCCTTCTTCTTCTTCTCCCTCTCCTCGCTCTTCCTCCTCTTCTCCTCCTTGTTCTTCTTGATCTCGTCCTTCAGCTCCGTCATTCTCTCTCTGTAGGCCCTCTTTATCTTCTTCGCCTTCGCCCTCTCCTCGAAAGTTGTCCCCTTTCGGCTGACTTGCGCCGCCGACGCCCTCTGCTTCCTCGGCTGCTTCCATTTCCGGCCGGAGACTTTTCCTGCGATCACGCCGTCGTAGCTCGGCTTCCCGAAGATGGGCTTGTCAGGATTGTCCGAGGAGGGTACCGCCGACCGCTTCGCCGGAGGTGGATATGAGTCGTCGATATCCATTGCAGCGCCGCCAAAGATAGAGGCATCTTCGTCGGCGGATTGGGGGTTTCTCTTGCGCTTGTAGGTTTTGCCACCGAAGCCCTCGTCTAGGCAGCGGAAATCGATTGTGCAGGCCATGGATGACGGGGCTTGTTTGATTTACAGTCCTAGGTCTTTCACTCATGTGCTGGCTCTAACACTGGATTTTCCTATTTATATGCAACTAATAAAAAAAATAAAAATTGCAATCACAAAATCTCCATGTCATACGGGTCCTTGACCACATAATGGTCACGTTTTAGGACAGCGTGAAAAATAATGGTGTTCATACATTTTACTGCAGTTCAATTCTCCGTCAATTCCTTTCTTTTTCTTTCTAATAACTAATTATGATAATAATTTTAAAAGATGCAACTAATTAATAGTAATGGTATAATTCAATTTATCAAAAATTGATAAATGTGACTCGAGACAAATCGCAAACCCTTGAGGGCCCAAATAAAAATTGATTGGAATTCATTCTCGAGTCAAAGATATCAATATATGGTTACAAGATGAATCAATTACTTGCTTCGTTTAAATCCAAATTTCTTTACCACTGACTCTTTTTCAAATACCTTATTACCACAGTGGCCATTTACTGATTTAGCCTTTATTCTATGGGTAAATTTCTCTATAAGAAAAAAAATTAGATGGAATTTGGTTAAAAGGGGTTATGTGTAAATGAATTAAAACCTCAAGGAATATTGATGTAATGTCTCAAACGTGAGATGTTTTTATGAAAACTTAATAAACTTTAGGTTTGTTAGCGAAATTAACCCTACTTTAATATGAAGGATAGCAAAAATCTTAGGATGCTTTCAAAGAACAGTTGCATAAATCACTTGAAACATGGGTTGGTCAAATATTAATGAGTTTTCAATGGATATGATGAAGGAAATGGAATCTATGAACGTGCTTGAAACAGATTGAATTCCGAAAAGTGAATTATGCCGGGAAGAAGTTCAAGTAACTTGAGTTCTTTACCATTCTCTTTAGTAGAGCGAAATCTCAGCAAGTGCAATCTTTCTGATGATGCATTTCCTAAGGATTTGAGTAATCTAGCTATCCTCACTACGAAGACTCTTACTAAATAGCAATCCAATTTGTAGCCTACCGATTTTCGTCAAGTGTTTGATAAGGCTCGATGAACTCTCTTTCTGGGGATGTTAGAGGCTCAAATCACTTGTGGGGTTGCCGAAAGTACACAAACTGAAGACCGATGTGGATGACAACCGCAATCTAGTTGAGTGGTACTACGATTACAAATTGAAACCTACTGGAAGAGCTGATGCTAACTGATCAACCTTTTGGGGTTGCACAACTTGGAATGCATGCCAAATATTCAAATGCACAAACCCTTCCGCGATTCTTAAGATGTTGATTGGAGTCTCCTCCAGGTGCATCTCACTCTCTTTGATAAATATGTCATTGGAATTGGAAAGAATTGACTAGTTAATGTTATGGTGTCCATAGTACATAAATAGGGATTGCATCAACATGATAAATTCAGCACATTTTTTGCTGGGAACGGCCAAGAGGACACAAGTGTGGACCGTAGGAGAGGAAATCACGGCTTAGAAAGACCTTTCATCAGTAGATCCGTAGGCTGACCCAAGGATGGAATGAATTGTACTTTATGTGTGCCAAGTGTAAACACGAGAAATTCCTGAAACAAGCGACAAGAATACGTGTACAAAATATATATTTTGTATTAATGATTTTGGGGTTACAATCTCTTTGTAATTTGGTCCTCTGATTCTATCTTCGAAGGGTGTACGTTTGTGGATGAATTGTTGATCCAAAGGGCCGTCGGGGCTTGATCTTAGGATGAACAGTTGATGAATGATGAACACTTTCTTCAAGGGGCCGTCGGGGCTTGATCTTGAGTTGGTGGGAGTTCTTCAAGGGCCGTTGGGGCTTAATCTTGAAGGAGGATGGATGATGAACGATGAACACTTTCTTCAAGGGGCCGTCGGGGCTTGATCTTGAGTTGGTGGAAGTTCTTCAAAGGCCGTTGGGCTTGATCTTGAAGGTTGGTGGATGAGCGGATCTTCAAGGGCTTTTGGGCTTGATCTTGAAGGTTGGTTGGATGTGTGGATTTGTTGAGGTTGTTGATCCAAAGTGGCCGTTGGGGCTTGATCTTAGGATGAACGGATGATGAACGATGAACACTTTCTTCAAGGGCCGTCGGGGCTTGATCTTGAGTTGGTGGAAGTTCTTCAAGGGCGTTGGGGCTTGATCTTGAGGATGAACGGATGATGAATGAATCTTCAAGGGCCGTTGAGGCTTGATCTTGAAGGTTGATGGATGATGAACGATGAACGGATGTGTGGATTTGTTGATCCAAAGGGGTCGTTGGGGCTTGATCTTAGGATGAACGGATCTTCAAGGGCTTCTGGGCTTAATCTTGAAGGATGAACGGATGTGTGGATGATGAACACTTTCCTCAAGGGCCGTCGGGGCTTGATCTTGAGTTGGTGGAAGTTCTTCAAGGGCCGTCGGGGCTTGATCTTGAAGGTGGATTTGACGAAGAACGAAGATTGCTTTCTTGATCCTTCGGGATTTGCTTGAGAGCTTTAGAGTTTCAAGGCTTCTTTCTTTCTTCCTTCCTTCTTTTCTTCTTTTCCTTTCTCCTTCTCCTTCCTTCTTCCCCTCTCCAAAATGAATGTCTTGGCTTCCTATTTATAGAATTCCAAAACTTGATTTTTGGATTTAAATAATCAGATGAAATAAATCATTTCTGCCAGGTATTGACACGTGTCATATTTGATGACTTTTCCAATTTATTTCGATTTTTCGTTGAGGCACACGCTACATGTAAAATTTATGTGATACGTGAGTGTTGAAATTTTAATTATTGGTCAACATTCATTTCACCGAAATTTTGATGTCTACAAATGCCCCCACTTCAAGGCGCGTCGTAAACATGTGCTTGTCACGTGTAGAAGATGCGTTTTGAAGTCCCTTAATGTAGATGTCAACCCAAGGGCCGTCGAGGCTTGATCTTGAGTTGGTCTGGAAATTTCTTCAAGGGGCCGTCGGGGCTTGATCTTGAGCTTGACTGGAAGATTTTCTGGTTTCCTCCAATCGTTGATTTTCCGCAGGCTTAATCTTGAACTGGGCTGGAGGATTCTTTTGGTCTCCTCCGAAGGTCTGAACTTACTCCTTTTATCTGGAGTTGAATTTGATTCAAGGGTGGTGAACACTTGATTTTGAATCGGACTTGTGATTTCTTCAAGGGCCATCGAGGCTTGATCTTGAACTGGGCTGGAGGATTCTTTTGGTCTCCCCCTACCGTTGATTTTCCTTTGTGCTACTCTTGAATTGGGTAGCAGGATTCAGACACATGGCAGGCAAGCACGAGGTGGAAGTGATGACCTGTTTCTTTGTTCAATCTTTCCCCAATTCGTATTGAAGAGGGTAGATCGGAAAACTGACTCCAAGTGCCGTCTGATTGCTCTTTTCACTTTGCCATGCGAGTAATAACAAGGACAAAGGAAAGGACATGGAGAAAGCATGATATAAGATACCTTTGCTTTTGAAGAAGCAGCGAATGAATCAGCACATATATTTGTTGTGCTTGTCTCCACATGCTTTGATGTATCATTTTCACTTGTCTTACTTGCTCCCTTTGCAGAAGTGGTATTTCCTTATGTAGGTTTGGCATCTTCTCGTGTAGTATTTGTCCTCTGATGCAGGAATGGAATGCAACCTTTGCATTTAAATGGTGCTTCAAAACATTACTTCTCCGCGACGATGAGTACTCGAGAGCAATGCAAGGTAAGCAACCAGGCAAAGGTTCCAGGCAATCAGTTCCAGGTCGGAAGTTTGATTTCAGGTTCCGACTGATAACTCTATTTCCCCTTCTCCTGCATGTAAGAGCAAGGACAAAGAAAAGGACAGGGGAAAAGCATGATATGAGATACCTTTGCTTTCGCCCTTGATGATATGAGATACTTTTGCTTTTGAAGAAGCAGCGAATGAATCAGCACATGCTTCCATCTACCGTTTCCTCCTAGGTCATCTGTACTCCAGGCATCTAGTATCATCTTTGGGGAAGAGGAAAAAATTGAGTATTTTGAGATGTTTTGCTGGGAGTGTACTCTCGGAGGTGAGGAAGAGTTGGGCATTTTTTTTTTCCGCAGGTCTGCCTTGCCATAAAAGATGAAGGTCGACATATATAGGGATTTCCCAATAGCAAGTGGTGGTACTGTTCTTTTACCCTTGTCGACAAACGTTTTGATCCCGCAAATTCGGCTTTTTGAAATAGTGACGACTCTTCGATCTTTGAATACGCCTCTTTGATTTCTGAACGACGCCTCTTCGATTTCTGAACGAGCGTCTCTTTTGACAAAGTGGCACGCGTTTTCTGAAAAGCAGAAAAAGCGTCGCCGAACTTTGCGCTCGTCAGCTAAAGATGTGTAGCTGCGATGATGACCTCCACGTGATCTTTTGACAAAGTGGCACCCGTGCTTTGAAAAGCCGCGAAAGCGTCGCCAGTCTCCACGTGTTTTCAACTTTGTCGGAGATCTTTTGACAAAGTTGAACGCGTTTTCTGGAAAGCCGAGAAAGCGTCGCCTAACTTACGCCGGAAAATCCAGCTTTTGAGATTTGCAGAGCGATGTCTCTTCACTTTTGAATAAGCGGCCCTTCGATTTCTGAACCAACGCCTCTTTGATTTCTGAGCAAGCGCCTCTTCCTTTTTATAGAGGTATTGATCACCTCTAACATGCACATTTTGAAGGTTGCTCATTCCTGAAAATCATCTCCGGCCTTTTGAGTTTTAACCCCATCCACCCATCTCTTTTAACACCTTTGAAAAATGGCTAACCCATCGAACCTTAGCTTAGAATTGAGTCTCAGCAGTGATCCGGTTGCGCCGCTTCAAGGTAATGTATGGTGTCCTTCTTTCTTATCTTCTAACGGTCCTCTTACAGGTGAAGACTCCGTGATGCAGGACGCCACAACAGCTACAATAGTAGCTAGGAACCTCCTTACTCCAAAAGATAGTAGGCTGCTGTCAGGACGGTCCGATGAGTTGGCCGTTCAAGAGTCCCTCGCTCTTAGTGTTCAGTGTGTGGGCTCTGTGTCCAACATGGGCCAACGCCTGCTTGCTCGGTCCCGTCAGGTGGAATCATTGATGGCAGAGGTGGAAGATCTTAAGCAG